GCCGCCCGCCGCTGCCCGCGCCCCCGCTCCGCTCCGCGGTGCCGCCGGACCAGGACCATGTCGCTGTCGCGCACGGAGGAGATGCATCGGCTCACGGAAAATGTCTACAAGGTGAGCCCCGCGCCGCCGGCGCGCTTGGGCCCGACCCGGGCAGCCCCGGGGCCCTCGGGGGTCTTCTCGGAGCGGCCGCGGGGACCCGGCGCAGCCAGTCGGTCACAGGTGGTCGCGGGCGCCCACGCTCCGATAGCCCCGCGCTGCCCCCTCGCGTCCGCCCCGGCGTCCGGGGGACGGGGCCCTCGGACCGGAGTGGAGCGGGGCGGGGGTCGCCGGGGGTCCAGGGGGTCCGGGGGCCTCGCCGCCCGTCCTCCCGCGCCCCGGGTGGCGTGGGGGCCCCGTCGTGGCCCCTCCAGCCGCGGTTACGCAAGCCCTTGGGCACTTTCTTGTCAACAGGCTTTCCCTTTGCACAACTCCTTCCCGGGCAGTCGTGGACGGAGCCCCAGGTGGGAGGTCGCGCGCGGGCAGATTGGACGGGGGGACAGATAATCCATCATCTTATGTAACCGCGGAGGAGAAGACTAATTGTGTAGGAGGCTGGCGCGCCTGCCTCTGCTTCTGATGTGTGTGAAGAGTGTGGTTCGCGTCCTCCTCTGCACACTGTCACTGTCACATCTGAGGGCCGCAGAGCCCCGCCGGGAGACCCCTCTGAGGCCCCCTCCCTGGTCATTCTGTGCCTTGTGCACATGAACAGGCCTCTGGCGTCCATTGTGTCAGTTTACACCCTCATCCCTGGGACAACAGACCCAGGCTCCCCGGGGACTCAAGGCCCTCTGCAGCCCCACGCGGGCATGTTCTCAAGAGGGAGACTCATGCCCTGGGCGTCCACAGCAGGCTTCTCACAAAGCTGTGCTTGATTTCAAAACCCTGTGTGAAGGTTAACTGGTGGGCTGGGAGGTTGAGGTGCTGGGTGTTTCCGTGGTAGGTGCTGGTTCTCGGGGCTAAATGGGATTGTGAGGCGCTGGCGGAGCAAGTTTCTAATTGTACTGAACAGTTATGGCCGTGCTTTCTTAGCCGGGGGCCTGCAAAGCCCTCCCCGTAAGCTCGCCCAGGCTCTGGACAGCCCCCGGGACACTTGCCCCGTGGCCCCTTTTGCTCTCAGCTGGATTTCAGGTGGCAGGCTGTCCTCCAAAACGGCTTCTAATAGAGGTTTTAAAGTTCCAGCTCCATCACGGGAAGAATTCTGAAGCCGGTCAGGATTGACTAAGTCAGTTCTGGAGCCATGTTAGAGCTGCTGGTAAACACGAGTCAGAGGCTGATGAGGAATCGGCACGTAAAAGGAACAGCCTCTGGGGTTTTTGTGTTTGGTATCACAGAGAATCTGTGGCATACGTTTCTGTTGGTGTTGGTCTGCAAACGCTATCAGGGAAAGGAGGTTTATTAAATTATTAGTCATTAGGTCCATAACCGTTTGCTCATTATTGCGGGGGGTGGAAGGGAAGCGCTGGCTAGAGGATCTCTTTCCTATTTTGCCTGCTTCTGCCATGAAACCATGAAACGGGAACTTTCATGGTGAGAATCGCGAGGGGTGCATGATGTGGCTACACTCTGGGGAACCCCATGATTGTCCTTACTAAAACTCAAGCTGGACAGTGAGGCATGCAGTTAGGGCTCAGCGGCTTCGAGATGGAGCTGTGATTTCCCTGGAGACCCGAAGGGAGATCTGCCAGCTGGATGGGGGCAGGAAGCTAGTAGGGTCTGAGTGTGAGGACCGTGCACCCCTCTGGAAGCCAGCTGGAGGGTGTCGGGTGCACATTCAACAGGCGAGCCCGCCTGTTGTGTGCTGGTGGGGCAGGTGGTTCATGAGCTCGCGTGGGGGAAGCGTGGCGAAGAGCCCTGAGCTCTCCGAGGCTGGACGCGGCAGGCCTTGGTGTCCGCAGGGCCGTGCCCCTCCAGCCGTCCGGTCACAGCACGCCCACACTGCAACGCCACCAGGTTGGCTTTGTAGGTGACACTCTTCCTGACGCTCCGTGGCTTGACTGCCAAGTCTTGGAGTGCCGGCACTCTTACCCTTTTGTGTTATGTCCCGGGGGAGCTCAGTGTTCTGAGGCCTAGCCGGCGCTGGGGGGCAGCATGGGCACCCTGGCCAGGCGGAAACCGGCCCACACCGAGGCACAGTCAGGGTGCAGCTGGAGCCGCCCGTGTGAACCTGGCTGGTCCGCCGTCCTCTCGCGGGGGGAGCTGTGCTGCCTCTGCGCCTGGGTCGGGGGCTTGCGGAAGCGTGGCCGGGCTGTGGCCCTGCTCAGTGTCCCCCATGCTGCAGCCCAGCTGTTTGCTTTGGCCCTGCACCGTTCCAGCTGCAGTTCTGAGTGCTGTTTGCCTTGGCAAGAAAGGGAGCAGCAGGGACGCTCGTCCTTGGCCTTGCTGATTAAAAATGTGAGAGTAGAATGTAGTCCTGCCTGGAAGAATCAGCCACATGGACTTTTACCTCTTTCCTTGTGGCCCGGTCCCTGTGGGAGCCACGTCCTGGAGGAACTTCACGAGAGGTGCAGGGAGAGAAGTGGAATGGCTTCCAGGAGGCCGCTGAGAGCTCACCTTCTGACCTGTGGCAGGGGGACACGCACTGAAGCCTTTTGGGGGGAGGCATGAGCCTGGGCCCTTCGGGGGCTGGAGGTGCAGGGAGCAGAGCCTGGCGTCCAAGACTAGTCTGGGGGGCAGCCCTGGGTGGTTGCCCGGAGTGAGGGACAGAGGGGGGCAGGCATCTACTGCTCAGAATTAAGCCCAAACCATAGCCCTCCTGGGAGAGACCTCTGAGTGACCCCACATGCTGGAAAGAGGCTTCTACAGTAGCTGACCTCACTTCCCCCGGGGGCTCTGGGGAACAACAGTCAGGTTGGTGTTTCTCAGGGTCGTAAATGCCAGAAGAAGCCGTGGCTCTCGGCCGACCTTACGAGCCTGGAGGGTGGCAGCTGCGGCAGCTTCCCAGGGACAGTCGCGTTGCTTGTCCTGAGGATGTGGGCAGGTGGGAGCCAGCCTGAGGAGGAGGACTCCCTAGGAGGGCCTCGGGCCGGTGGTTTACGGGGGTGTGGCTCTGGGGCCTTGGTCAACAGGGCCAGGCTGGTTGCTAGAGGCGGTCTGCTCGTCCTCACCCCGTAACTGTTGTGGGGAAGCTGGCCCCGCCATGCCATAGCTGCCCTGTGGGTGGTGGGTGACGTGGGGTTCCTGGAGCCGGGAGTCGGTCAGGCTTGACACCTCTGGTGCCATTGGTAAGGGCTGGTGCCGGGTGGGGGCATTGGCGCTGTGGGAGGGAGCCGACTCGCTGGCTTTTCCCGTGGTGGCCTGGCCGCCCAGGCCCTGCCCACTACCCTCCGCTGTGTCCCACCCATGCCTCCGGGTGGGTGTTTGGGGGAGCTCTGGGCAGCCCTGTGCCGCCGGCCTCAGACCCGCTTTCCCCTCACTCGCGGCTGGGCGGTCCCACCGAAGCGTTTGCTGCCCTCAGAAGCCTGGCGTCTGCTGTGGACGGAGCTCAGGGGCCCCCGGTTGGAGAAAACGCAGTGGACTGAGAGGCACCTCGTCGGCAACGGAAGCGCCTGCTGGGAGGAGCGGGGCCGGTGTCTGCTTGGGGGGCAGGCGAGAGCCACAGCGCCATGCGCACCTCTGTGCACGCGCGTGCGTGTACGCAGATGAACACGTGTGCACGCGAGTGTGCGTGCCTGTGCGTGAGTGTGAACGTGAGGACGCGTGCATGCATGCAGGTGGTGCTTGTTGGCCTTGCTTTAAAGGTACTTTCAGGGGTGCCCATTGGGGTCCTATCTTCTTTTTTTCTTTTTTTTTTTTTTTAAGATTTTATTTATTTATTTCAGAGAGAGAGAATGAGAGAGAGCACATGAGAGGGGGGAGGGTCAGAGGGAGAAGCAGACTCC